GTAAATACCTTTCTTAGCTTGCGGGCTGAGGTTTGCCAGCCTCAGGTTTTTCTGATCACCTGAGAAATCTTACTTGATAGCTCTCACCCAACACAGACTTAGTTCAACAATTATTCGTCCTCTACTGTTTCCCTGATGTCAAGAATGTAAATACCAAGGTAAAGACAGTTATTTCCCTAAAAGATCTCAGTCTCAGGAGAAAGAAAAATACATAAACACACTTATTACAAGTGTTTATTATCATGCAATGTGATGAATGACGTCCAGAAGTGGTATGACTGGGTGAGGGTGTTGGGAAATACTCCTCAGACAAGCGGCAAACATTTCTAAAGCATCAGAGAGAGGACAGTGCATTCTACAAAGGCAGGTAATGCTTATACCTCAATGTGTAAGACATTTATTTGGGTTTGTTTTTTTTTCCTATCTCAATATAAAATCTCGGTTCCCAGATAATAGCATAGATAACATTAGTTCAAGAATACTGGAAGCCAAAAAAAAAAAGAATATGGAAGCCCAAGAATACTGGAGTGGGTAGCCTATCCTTTCTCTAGGGGATCGTCCTGACCCAGGAATCAAACCAGGGTCTCCTCCATTGCAGGCAGATTCTTCACCAACTGAGCTATCAGGGAAGCCCAACATCAGCTCGGTCACTACAAAAAACTTCTGTAGGTATTGTGAGGAAAAGCATATTATTCAACAGTTATAGCACTGAATATGGATTTGAAGCATTTGACTTCTGCTTCTTCTGCACATGTTATTTTTCTTTAACAGACACTGATCACCAGATAAGTTAAATTTAAAACACAAAGTTTTAGACACGTAAGCAATGAGGTTACATAGCTCATGTTAAGTCACAAGATATTATAAAATTAAGAAGTCCCTGCTGTCTGAGAGCCAGTGATTCCAATGAGGCAGGCAGAATATACAGATGATAATAATAGCAAAAGTTCTAGTTCTTCTGTTTAGAGCCATAATTCTTAATTCTCCTTGTACATTGAAATTACTTGGGGAGCTTTAAAAAAAAATCAGTGTCACCACTGCAGACCAATTAAATCAGAATCTGTGGGGTAAGACACAGATACAGAGGTAGAAGTCAAACACTGTTTGTGTAAATTTTAGATTATGTTTTTCAATAATTTACCCTTCATTTCTCAATTCCTGTTGTCCTTTTCCAAGCATTATGTTTAGTACATAGATACTCAATCTAGATATTCTAGATGTCTTTATTTACAAATATTAAAAGCAAACCATTTAGGGCCCATATAGGGACCATAAACAGAAAATCTGTTTTAATATTAAATTTTAGTTTCATCTTTTGCCTTCTATAAACAAAAAAAAATTAGAACATTTTTTAATCTATTGTTTATCTCATTCATCCTTCAAAAACTATTTCAGTATCTCTTGGCCAAAAGAAATTTATATAGTATATGTGTATTTCAGAAAATGGAATCATCCTTTACTGCAAATATATTTAAACAGTTCATAGCTGAACATTTTAGCTGTTCACTGGCCTGCTCTTCTATAACCTACAAAGGTTGTAAATATTTCAGTCGCTCCCAAATTATGTTCTGCAATGGAAATGATAACAGACCTTAATTGGAGGCTGATGGTGGAGCTGATGGCATTCCAGAATCTCTGATCCTCCCGCACGGCAGCTTTGAGAACACGAACCACACGTCACACCAACACTGGCAATATAGTTAACAAGGAAAATGCTTACTTATTCCATGATGATAGAAATCGTGATGTGGCACAATTGTCTATTAAACTAAAAAAGCATTTTTAATATTCAGGTTGTACTTATTTTTTTTTACCACGAGAGGCCCCTCAGTCCTGAATTGCCGTGGTTACATGCAGGTCATTTTCTCTGCCCGAAGGGCTGTCGAAACACTTTGCTGTTATTCCCATGACTGCGTTAATACCGAATTTTTAACATAGGAGAGTGAAACCTTTATTCTTCAGAACTAGCTTTTTAAAATTTTTACTTTTAATTCCCTCTGGATACAGAAAATATCAGCATCTAAGGATAGAAGAGGAGTGGAAAGGCCAGGAAAATGAGTTACGTAAAATGGCAGTGGAATAGAATTCTTTTGAGGTTAAGTGAAAACACAGGCTGCTTTGTGAGTGAAGAACAAACAAGACCGTTCCTTTCTTTCCACCTTAGGTCTCAGTCTCGATTCCCTGTCTTGTCTAGTCAGTGTAAATCTCTCACTATAAAAATAAAATAAACATGATTATTTTTATCAATAGGGGTATAGAAAGGAAGGTACTTTAGATAGGATGACATTAATAGGACATGAATAATAGAATTTTTGTCATAGGTTATATGTTACAAATCATTTATTACTTTGACTTTAAATAAACATAAATGTTCCTGTGTCTGCCTCTCCACTTATTTAAGTATTCATTTATTGAATGATTGCTTAATGTCAAACTGAAAGTCAGACTCCCTGCCTTTAGGGAAATAATTTAATAGGCAGTTATTATTCCAGCATAATATGTTTAACATAAATTCCTCTGGTTTAATAGCTTGACTATTTCAGTAAAAATAATGGGTATGTATTATGGACAACAGTACTAAATTATAAGCTTCAAAATTGCTCAGAGACTAGACCTTAATTGTTCTCACCGTGAAAAAATAAAAAGAAATGATTGTGCAACATGATAGAGATATTAGCTAAATACAGTAATAATCTCCTGCAGTGTATAAATGTCAGATCAACACATTGTACACGTTCAACTTAACACAGTGTTATGTGTTAGTCACATCAGTAAAAATAAACTTTAAAAGATCAGTGTGTATTTATATTAACATACCTCCTATTCCCTTAATGATTTGAGGTTACAAGGATGAAAAATATTTGCCCCAACCACGGTTAGTGACCTTTTAGATGAAGAGCAACCCATAGTCTACCATAAAATATCCATTTGTACAGGATTTGTCTTTTTTAGTTTGTTCATTTCTTTCTGGCTTGTGAACAAAGCAAGAACGTCTCCATTATTTCCTCGGGGAACAGTTTTCTCCAGCTAAACTATTATGTTTGCACTCTTTTAGATTAGGCTTACTAAGGAAAACTAATATTAATCTAGGCAGGAATTTCAAAATGCTCTGTATAAATGTATATGTTTTATTTTTTTAAATTCATTTGGAAATATAACAGATTTTTAACAGTAATTTACATTTTGACCACTAGGTGGCATTTTGACCACACTTATGTGTGGTGAGCACACGTAAGCTAAGAAAAAAAAGCCTTTTCTCAGCAGTTGTTTCTGAATACAGATGCTTAAGTATCTTCAGCATTATATACTACAGATCTTTTGTTATCCAGCCCATAATATTACTACAAAAGCCTTTGTTTTTCTGGGTGAAGTAATCTTATATATGACTGCCTCAGATAAATTCTGGGAGAAACATAGCTTCTGCTATTGCTTTGATCATTACTCATCAAACTATTCTATTTTTAGCTATTTAAATATATTATTCCTTTCTTACTAGTACCTTCTCATTCCTGAAAAACAGAAGATATATTTTAATTTTTTCAAGGGCCATTACATAGCTTCTGGGATATTAAGAGATCCAAAAACACATGTTCTCTATAAGGCAGAATATGAGGGCATGAAGTTTGTTTTTGTTATTCTGGCGCTCTGACGTCTGTTTTTCTTATTTTACAACATTCTTTTGTTAAGTAATACTTTGGTCTGATTATGAATAACTCTTACATTGTGTTACTTTCTGAAGAAAGATGTTGTAGGTTGCAAATAGTAGATATCCTTAATGGTTAAGCTGTTGCTAAATTGGGTTGTTTTACTTGACATGGGAAGGAATTACCCTGTTGGGTTGGACTGGTAGAGACCCACCGTCTCTGAGCAGCCCCGCAGAAGGATGAAACACAATTAGAATGCCCTCCAGCAAAGAAGAGGGAGAGTGGATTTGGGCAGTCAGATTACAGTATTTGGTGCCATTTGTTTTTGTTGTCTCCCCCCCCCACCCCCTTAGAGACTGTTCTTTCTTGTCTTAACATTCTTGAAGTAAAACTTTTCATTTCCCTTATTTTAAGTGCATGACACTGAACAGAATTACAGATACATAGACTATATCTGTTGCAGAATTTTATCATTCAGCACAAGCTCTTTCACTTCTTGTTTTGTTTATGCACGTGTCTTTTCTCTAGCAGTTAAGGTAAGTAAGAACTCAGGTTCTCTTTATGTGCTTACCAGTGCTATCATGCCCCCAAAGCTGTATCTCTAAAGTGCTGCATGAATCTAATCGCACTTCAGCCAAATCTGCAATTGTCTGCCTAAGCACACATAACTTCTAGGGCTCCACATCAAACACTGGGTGCATCTGACCAGGACTTCTGGAAACGTTGGCACCAGCAGCCTCGGGCCACCCCCGGGACTCTATAGACCCAAAGGAACAGAGCTGGGCCAGCTCCGTGACTCAGGTTCTTCAACTTGCCTGTGGATCGCGCTGCCTTCCTGCCTTTTCTGGCTTGTTTTTCCATTTAATATCACAGCGCCTCCCAAGGGCTGTAACAGACCCAGGACATCTAGTCTCGATTCCATCTGAAACAGAACCCGGCTCCTTTCTCCCCTGCTTCATGCCAAAGATGTGTTCCTGCTGCATTATCTGAAAATGTATTTGTTTGTTATCTGAATTCAGCAAGTATTTGTTTATTGATTGAAAGAATATTTATTGACATTTCAAATACAGTAAGTTTTTCTCTGATTTGAAAGTGCTGATATATTTTGTTTATTATGTTAGCTGTTTTAACACTTGTCAAACAACCAGAAAATGTTTTCAACTGACATTTTCAGTCATCATGTTTTTAAGTAAAGAACAATAAGTATTCTTAAGAAGCAGTTAGTAGTGGCGTTGTTGCTAAATTGTTTGAACAGTTTTTATCCTTTTAATTTTATAATTTGAGAGAGAAGAACTTATTTGAGAATACATTGAATCAAAAAATTTTTTTAATCTCTCTGATATTTTTATTTTTCAGAAAACTGTGGAATATATTTTCCAGAAATAAAAAGAGATCCAGGCAAATATTTACACACTTGTCCAGAATCAGTAAAAAAGTGGCTTCGACAGCTAAAGAATGCTGGCAAAATCCTTATGTTAATTACCAGTTCTCACAGTGATTACTGTAGACTCCTCTGTGAATATATCCTTGGGTAAGTGGTGAGTGGTCTGATAACAGATTAGACCAGTGCTCTTTTAAAAGTGTTCAACCATGACCATGTCATTATATTAAATAATACTGAGTGACACATGGTTGTTTCTCGTAACAGCCCTCAACATCTGCTGACAGCAAGATACCCCAAATACATTTTAGCAAAGCAGTATTGCCAGGCCCAGTATGCTCACAGGTGATGGACTTTAGATTTTCTGAAAAATATTGTGGACAGACCACAAATCCTTCAAGCAGTCCTCCGTGTCTCTGGCGTCTCAGCTCTGGTTGATTCTCGAGGAACACTGAGTTATAGATTATGCTCCCTGACATCACCTGGAATACAGCCCCACTGCAGCCGTTTTCCCCTGGAGCCAGGCACTTCACCACTGACCCATCCAGGTGTGGGGTTGACATCCATGAACATCGAGACAGCATAAATATGTAGACTCAAGGCAGATGTGGGCTCAAGCCCTGCCTCTCAACTTACTCTGTGACCTAGGGTAGGTTCTGTAACCTCTCTAAACCTTCATTTCATCATCTTAAAATATGGGACAGTGAGCAAACTCCAGGAGATAGTGAAGAACAAGGAAGCCTGGCATGCTGTAGTCCATGGGGTCACAGAGAGTCAGACATGGCTTAGCTACTGAACAACAGCAATACCTCATAGGTGTTGGGGAAATTTAAATAGCATAATACAGGTTAAAGTATTAGGCAAAGTAGTTGATAAATTTTAGTAAGCATTAATACTTATTTATGGCATCCTTATGGGGAATATACATGGTCATACCTAGATTCTAAAATCAGCTATTAGATTTGCCCTGATGTTTCCTCAAATTTTATCAGACACTGTACTGAACTGCTGTAAGTATGAAGCAAAATTTAGCCTCCAAACTGACCCCTTGCTGACTGGTTTGGTTTCCTCATTCCCATGTTTTTCAGCACGTGTGGGTTCAGAATGACCTGTGGTACAGTTACAGTCTGTTGGTGGTTTTCTGCTTTCTTATTAAGGGATGGGATCCTTGAAGTGAATTAAGGCTGCAGTCCCAGGTGCTTTGGGAAGTAAATGCCTTTTATTATAAGAGACATTTGTGTCCTGGTACCGGGACCATGCTTCAGAGTAAATACTCGGGAATATTTTTTTTCATTAGTGTACATTACCAGAATTTTTCTTCATATCTGAATTCCTCTATAGTAGGATTCTAAAGTGTTGGGTAAATATTATCTTCCCAATGTAATAGTGAGTCTGTCAGCAACAAGAATTATCTTCCCCTTGCTGTCTCAAATAATCCTTAGTATAGTATTAAATACACACTAAAAAAACATATTTATTATTATCTAAAAATAACCATATTATAAGACTACCCTGATTTTTTAACACTCAGAAAGATGTCTCCTGACTCAATACAATGCTGGCTTTCTGTAAGACCCATGAGATACACAAAATTATTAATAACTCTTGGTGCTAATAAATTCAAACAAAGTTCAGGCCCTAAACTTGAAAACAGTGTGTGACTACTTAGACGTTAGAACTGTTGAATTTATAACTGTTGCCATAATGAGAAAGTCAGCTTAACACATAGAGTTAGTGAATTAATGTGCTTTTTTTCCCCTTACGTGTATACTTCAGGGTGGTGTCTGGATAATTAGTGCTCGACCACCTTCTATTTCCTTTCTTATTTTTTTCTTAATCAAAAAAATAAGAAATGATGCTGTGGTCAAATAGGCAAAGATTAAGTTCTGTTTTTTATGGACCTTTTCTAGTTCCTTAAAATAAACTTATGAAAAATATCATTGCTTTTTAGGAATGATTTTGAAGATCTTTTTGACATTGTGATTACAAATGCATTGAAGCCTGGTTTCTTCTCTCATTTACCAAGTCAGAGGCCTTTCCGTACACTTGGTGAGTTAACAGTTTGTGTCTTTCCTCTCCTGTTTTAAGATTTATTCATTGACTTAATAAATAACCTGTTGGCTGACAGCCATGTGCAGAATTTCATGTTAGATGCAACGAAGGGAATTAAAGAGCTGATAAGTGTCCTTTCCCCTCATGAGGATACAGACGCAAACACATAAGTAAATCGGTGAATGCCTGGGATGGGATTACAGACCGGGTCACCGGTAAGGGTGGCAGTGACTGCCTGGTGACACAGAATAAATGGGGGCCCCCACAGGGAGGCAGCTGCAAGGGACTGATGTCAGCCGTTGTCATGGAGACCCTAAAAGGGAGGTGTTGCTTCCCATAGACCAGGAGAAGAAATGTTTAAGTGTCGTATTTGGGTTTATAAAGACGGTGCTTGAAACTTCCTTGAGTTGTTTCCTTGGAGTGTATGCTTCTTCAGCTCTGATGCTTTCATACGCCTCCTTGGCTGTCTGCTGCTGGACTTAATAGTTTCCTCAGTTCCACAGCTTCCCAGTTATGGAGGTTCTAAGCCCTCCACATTGCCCTGCATGGATAGGACCCTACCGAGCAGCTTCTAGTCTGGGGGCTGAAAACGGGGAAGGGGAGGGGTATATTTGTGTAATGCGAGTTTTTTGTTTTGGTTTTTGTATAAAGAAGAAATTTTCTCTTTTTTGTTAATAACTGAGTCCCAGTATCTGAGAAATGATGTTTCTATAGATTTATATTTTTTTATTAAGCAATAGAAAGCTTCCCTTCCCAATGTTTCCTGCACAGGGAGCCTCTAAATATCAAATGTTAGGTTTGCTCTCAAAAATAATTGTGTAAGTTAATCATTTTCCAGTTGCCATCAAACCCACATTATTTACTTGGCAAGACATTCTGTACTAAGTAAAGACAGACAGACATGAGAAATAATTGGTTTTCACCATGTTTCTCCAGGAATATGCTGAGTCTTCGTAGACTCTTTTTTTTTTTCTCTCATTTATTTTTATTCATTGGAGGCTAATTACTTTACAGTATTGTAGTGGTTTTTGCCATACATTGTTAGACTCTTAATGTTAGGCTAAACATGGCTAGTTTTGAAAGGTTGTTGCCGAACAATAAGACGCTGGGATTCTTGGCCTCTGGAGGAGACGAATTCAACCCGGGGTCAGAGACGAGGCTGGATGGCTCAGAGCTTTTGTGTAATCAAGTTTTATTAAAGTATAAAGGAGATAGAGAAAGCTCCTGACATAGGCATCAGAAGGGGTCAGAAAGAGTACCCCCTGCTAGTCTTCAGCTGGATGTTATACAGTCACTGGCAGTCTGTTAATGAAAGAAAGGAATGTCTTAAAACTCAGAATGGCACCAGATAATTCATCCCAGGCCATAAAATGATTGACTTGAATCTTGTAGAAGGGCAGATTACCATACAAATAGTTTTGTTTACATAAATTAGGGGAACAGTATCTGAGTATAACATACTGGTTTGTCAAGTAGGTTCTGAGCCTTTTGGTGGAACTTGAAGACAGAGTCTGGGGTACACTAACAGCTTAAGACAAACATTTCCATAAGAAAAAATGTATTGGTTAACTCAAGGTTTGAGAATAGTTAGCTTCAGGTGAAACCAGGTGTCATGGCAACACAGCATTTTAAAAGAAACCTCCTTTTAAATTTGTATAGAGAAGAAAAAAAAAATCGCTGGTTTGTTTCCTCCTGCTGCTTAAGAGAGAGAAAAATGTCTGACACTTGCAGCCTATTTCCTCTCTTTGGAGACCCCTGGCCTTCCTGCCTGTTACCCTCTCAGTTTTTGACCTACTCTTTAGAGCATAGTAGGATTTTCATTTGATTGTATAAAAGAATTTAAAAATGGCTGCCGAAATGTCAGCCAAATAGGCCTGAATATCTTTTGACCTTTAGCTGTGATGTGGCTTTAATTATCTGTAATTGTGATTTTAGAATTCCTTGTTCAAAATGACTGAGGTTATGTAGAAATTCGTCTTACATTATTATATGTTGGACTATTTTATTATCACCAGTAATGGGAGAGGCTGTGCCTTTGTGAGGGCAGAGGGTATATGGGATATCTCTGTACCTTCCTCACAGTTTTGTGTGAACTTAAAACTGCTCTTAAAAAATTCTTTTAAAAAATAATGTCTTTATGTCAACGAAGTGCTCATGATGTATAGGTGATGACTGAATGGTAGCCGCCATCCCCACGTGGTTCCTTCTTATGCATGTCCTTCAGCCATGCAAAGTGTGGTCTGTCCAGCTGAGTGCTGTCACTTGATGAGAATGTATATGATTGTTAACCTGTGTTCTCAGAGAAGGATGAGGAGCGGGAGGCCCTGCCTTCTCTGGATAAACCTGGCTGGTACTCCCAAGGGAATGCTGTCCACCTTTATGAACTTCTGAAGAAAATGACTGGCAAACCTGAACCCAAGGTATTTTCTCATTGAGGTAGAGTCCTTGTGGCCCACATGGAGAGAGAAACCTTTGTTGACTGAAGCCGTAACTCTAAATGCATTCTGCATAACTATCTGCCAACCTGCTTGCCCAACTCTTCTGCTTAAATAAGTCTTTCCTTTGATGTACATTTTTATCTCTCACAAAGAAAAGCAAATATTCCAAGCAGGAACACAGACCTAGAATAGTGTGTGGGTTACCTGAGGAATGTTATCCTGCTAACTACCCATCAAGGACCTTTTTTATATGTGAAACCAGCAATAACTGATTATACTACAGACTAAAGACACATTAGCTTTTAACATTCTGTCATATTGTTGATGTTGGACATTGGTATATTTTTAATAGCAGGACACTTTCTTCTAAAAAATGATTGCCACGAGCCCCATGAGAAGAATGGGTCAGTCCATTGCTGAGCCCTGATCCACTGGCTCCCACAGTGAGCCAGCCCCCTGGGGGTTCCTGACTTGGAGGTTCTAGCTCATATGCTCTTTAACCTATTTTCCTCATCTGTAAGTTAAGAGGTGTGGACTAGATCAGTGGGGCTTTGCCTCAGAATACCTAGGAAGTTTCCTGGAGCCCACCTGTCCTGCCCCATCCACTCTCAGAGACTCTGTTTCAGCAGGTGTGGGTGGGGCCCATAAACTTTGGTAAATTGGTTCTGTTGTGAGTGTTCTTGCTTATCTAATCCTGTATAACAGGCTGTCTCCAGTATGTCACCAGCTCTTCAATTCCAGGGGCAGATTTAACTGTAAACATTTGGGTTCTTTCATTTTCATTTCAGAAATTTGAATTAAGTTCACTTATCTTCTGCTGGTCTTCTGCATGCAAATGAATTGTGTAACTTCTTAAACCTGACACCCTGTGAATCAAATGGAACAAGTCAGTGGTCGCTTGTGAAGTTATCCAAGGAACTTTAAGATGTTTATGTAGCTTTTACATGACTTGCTCTGATAGCTGTTAAGGAATTTCCTTGTGCCTTTTGTAAAATGAACACCACTCCCTTCACGATCCTCGTGTCTCAGACAGAATTTGCTGTCTGACTTACAGGTTGTATACTTTGGTGACAGCATGCATTCAGATATTTTCCCAGCCCGTCATTATAGTAACTGGGAGACAGTCCTTATCCTCGAAGAGCTCCGAGGGGACAAAGACAGGAAGCCTGAGGAGTCAGAACCTGAAGAGAAAAAAGGCAAATATGAGGTAAGAGTCTCCTTTAGTTTTTTCCTTGAAAGAAAGACCTTTATGTTTGTCGTATCTTAGAAGGTGCTTGTTTCAGCCATGAGCAATGAATTCTGTTGGCACTTAACTGTGATCTTCATGCCCTCGCAACTCTGCAGTTGATTTTGTGGATAGTTTTTAAATGATGCCGAGATGATGTCGTTGACCCTCTGTCTGCCTGGGCTCCGTGCTTTCATCCTGGGCTGTGGCACCGTGGCTGTGCTTTGGCTGGTGATGAGGCAGCCAGATCCTGAGCCACTGGAGCACACGCTGTCTCTTTGGCTTAGCCATGAAAGCCCTGTGCTCTCTTTTCATGGGTCTAACTCCCGAATCGGTAGCTCCCTTAAACTTATTCCTGAGCCACCCCCAATGAACTTTGAGGGAAAGAAAAGTAAAGTATGTCATCAATTTAGAAAGGGAAAGTAGTGTATAAAAGCAAAAGCAAGCAGAAAACAAACAAAAAAAGAAATAGCAGAAAATAAAATGCACTATGCATTCTTCTAAATTCATTGCAAGGGAGGAATCTAAGAAGTCAAAAACCAAAGATCAAATCAAAAAATAACAATAGAAATGATCAAGCCATGGGAAAACATGGAGGAACCTAAAGTGCACGTTAAGGTGAAAGAAGCTGGTCTAAAGGCTGCATCCTGTATGCCACTGTATGCCATTCTGGAAAAGACAGAACTATAGGGACAGGGAAGAGACCAGTGAATGCCCCACGGCTCAGAGGGGAAGGGGATGAATAAATGGAGCACAGTTGTAACAAATATAACACACTAATTAACACAAAATGTTAATAACAGGAGAGAGTGTGTTAGGGGTGGACCAGAGGCGATATATTTAAGAAGTCTCCATATTATCTGCCTATTATCTGTAAACCTAAAAGTGTTCTAAGAAATAAAGACTACTATCTTAGAATAAAGGAGTCAGGTTTCTACGAGGTCTCCACTGAGTAACATTTAATCTTCACTGTGACACTGGAAACTCTGTGAGCTATATAGCTCTGTGGACTGAGTTAAGAAGAGTTTTAAAATAACCTTCCAGGAGTTGGACCCTCTAACTTGAGGGATTGTGGAGGAAGTTGCCCTTAAAGAGAAATAAGGAGATTCGGTTTCTTCACAATGATTTGAGAATGCACAGACAATGGAAAGAAAGTGAAGACACAGTGGGGATGTTTCCTTCAGCATTATGTAAACAGTAGCTCCATCTTCTCCCATAGACCTCTTTCCTTGCTAATTCATTACAAACACAACATTACATAATGGGTTTCCTGGGATCTCTTTTATAAGAACACTAATCCCATGCATGAGGGCTTCACCTTCATGACCTAAGTACCTCTTCAAGGCCTCACCTCATTATTACACCATCTTGGGGATTAGAATTTCGACATACAAATTTTGGAAGGACATGCACATTTAGACAGTAACAGCATCCGTAATACGTTGACCCAGAAAGGGTAGACAAGTCTGCTTTCCTCTTTTCAGAGGAATAACATGCAGCCTAGATTACCACTCAATGTTGGCAGAACCATTATCTGCATATAGTCTGTGCGATAAGAGTCATCTCTTCTTAGACTCATTAGACAAAGACAGTGAACCAAATAAAGAAGAGTTACACTATAAGCTTCTCTTTACACCTTGGGAAATTATATTTAAATACACCTTAAATGTATACACAGCAGCATAGATATTTGTATTCCATACTGCTCTTAGTATCTTTGATGAAATCCAAATAGATTCTTGCTAAGGGATTTCTAAACTCCATCTAAACAGCATCATCTGAAAACACATGTGTTTTCATCTTGCTTCACAAATTGAGTTCCAGCACAAAGAATCATGAATCTAAAGGCATAGTTGGAACTCTCTGATGCTCTAAAACAAAGTTTTCATCCGGAAAGGATGACAGATTTTATCATTCAAATTATATGGGTGTGATGGGATTTTTTTTTTAATTCTTAATTTTATACTACATCTATAAAACACTGAGAAGTATTTCTTGAATGAGTCTTTTATTTAGTCTACATTTTTTCTGTGCCTACTATGTCCTAGGCACTAGGCCCTAGCGATATACTAATACATGAGATAGTTCTTAACCTTACATAGTTCATAATCTGCCCAGGGCAAAAAGTAAATAGTATGATAATTGCAAGATGGTTTGAAAAGTATTGTATTAGGAATAAACTCAAGAGTGTGAGAAAATGGAGGAGGAGACCTAATCTCACCTAAGTGTGGAAAGTCAAGGAAAACATCCTAGGTGGCATCCAAACCAGATCCCAAAGGCTGAGAAAGGCGTTCCCAGGCAAAGCCAGAAGAGAGTACTTCAGAGGACTACTTTGTTGTTGTTCAGTTGTGTCTGACTCTTTTGCAACCTCGTGGACTGTAGTCCACCAGGCTTCTGTCCATGGGATTTCCCAGGCAAGAGTACTGGAGTGGGTTACCATTTCCTTCTTTAGGGGATCATCCTGACCCAGGGATTGAACCTGTGTCTCCCGCATTGGCAGCGGGACTCTTCACTGCTTAGCCACTGGGGAAGCCCTTAAAGGACTACTAAGCTTTGTTTTACTTTTTCTATAGTCTGGCTAAACAACTGAAATTTCTGCAGAGTTGTTCTATTTTGATTTACTTAGTGGTGGGAAAAATGAGGTTGAACACTAATTAATCAGTTTCACTACTCTGTTTCTTGTTTCAGGGATCAAAGGCAAAGCCTCTAAATACATCATCTAAAAAATGGGGGTCTTTTTTTATTGATTCAGTTTCTGGACTGGAAAATACAGAAGATTCCTTGGTTTATACATGGTCTTGTAAGCGAATCAGTGCTTACAGCACTATTGCAATTCCAAGTATTGAAGCAATAGCAGGTAAGAGGGAAAATACTTAAAAAGCTTTACCTGTTACTGTGGACCGAGTTATGAAGAGTTTTAAAATGACCTTCCAGGAGGTAGACCTTGTTACTGGACAGTAATGACCTGAAGTGCTGAAATTCTTTTCTTTTTTTTTTTTTTATTTTATTTTTTTACTGAAGGATAATTGCTTTACAGAATTTTGTTGTTTTCTGTCAAACCTCAACATGAATCAGCCATAGGTGTACAAACATCCCCCCCGCTTTTGAACCTCCCTCCCATCTCCTCCCCATCCCACCCCTCTAGGTTGATACAGAGCCCCTGTTTGTTTCCTGAGCCATACAGCAAATTGCTATTGGCTGTTTTACGTACGATAATGTGAGTTTCCACGTTACTCTTTCCATACATCTCACCCTTTCCTCCCCTCTTCCCATGTCTATAAATCTATTCTCTATGTCTCTTTCTCCAAATTCTTCAGTACCATTTTTCTAGATTCTGTGTATATGCTTTAAAATACGATATTTATCTTTCTCTTTCTGACTTACTTCACTCTGTGTAATAGGTTCTGGGTTCATCCACGTCATTAGAACTGACTCAAATGTGTTTCTTTATGGCTGAGTAATATTCCATTGTGTATATGGACCACAACTTCTTTATCCATTCATTTGTCAATGGACATCTAGGTTGCTTCCATGTTCTAGCTATTGTAAATAGTGCTGCAATGAACAATGGGATACGTGTCTTTTTCAATTTTGGTTTCCTCAGAGTATATGCCTAGGAGTGGGATTGCTGGGTCATATGTTGGTTTTATTCCTAGTTTTTTAAGGAGTCTCCATACCATCTTCCATAGTGGCTGTATCAGTTTACATTCCCACCAACAGTGCAAGAGCGTTCCCTTTTCTCCACACCCTCTCCAGCATTTATTGTGTGTAGACTTTTTGATGATGGCCATTCTGACTGGTGTGAGGTAATATCTCATTGTAGTTTTGATTTGCATTTCTCTAACATCTCAAAAAACATTTGAGCGATGTTGAGCATCTTTTCATGTGTCTGTTAGCCATCTGTATGTCTTCTTTGGAGAAATGTCTGTTTAGATCTTTTTCCCACTTTTTGATTGGGTGTTTGTTTTTCTGGTATTGAGTTGTATGAGCTGCTTGTATATTTTGGAAGTTAATTCTTTGTCAGTTGTTTCATTTGCTGTTATTTTCTCCCATTCCAGGGATTTTCTTTCCCCCTTGCTTACAGTTTTCTTTGCTGTGCAAAAGCTTTTAAGTGTAATCAGGTCCTACTTGTTTACTTTTGTTTTTATTTCCATGACTCTAGGAGGTGGGTCATAGAGGATCTTGCTTTGATTTATGGCATCAAGTGTTCTGCCTATGTTTTCCTCTAAGAGTTTTATGGTTTCTGGTCTTACATTTATGTCTTTAATCCATTTTGAGTTTATCTTTGTGTATGGTGTTAGGACGTATTCTAATTTCATTCTTTTACATGTAGCTGTCCAGTTTTCCCAGCACCATTTATTGAAGAGGCTTTGTTTGCCCCATCTTATATTCTCGCTTCCTTTGTCAAAAATAAGGTACCCATAGGTGCATGGATTTATTTCTGGGCTTTCTATCTTGTTCCATTGGTCTATATTTCTGTTTTTGTGCCAGTACCATCCTATCTTGATGACTGCAGCTTTGTAGTATAACCTGAAGTCAGGAAGGTTGATTCCTCCAGCTCCATTCTTCTCAAGGCAACTTTGGCTATTCGAGGTCTTTTGTGTTTCCATATGAATTGTGAAATTTTTTGTTCCAGTTCTGTGAAAAATGCCATTGGCAATTTGATAGGCATTGCATTGAATCTGTAGATTGCATTTGGTAGTATAGTCATTTTCACAATATTGATTCTTCCTCCCCAGGAACATGGAGTATCTCTCCATCTGTTTATGTCATCTTTGATTTCTTTCATTATTGTCTTATAATTTTCTGTGTACAGTTCTTTTGTCTCTTTAGGTAAGTTTATTCCTAGATATTTGATTCTTTTTGTTGCAGTGGTGAATGGGATTGATTCCTTAATTTCTCTTTGATTTTTTTCATTGTTACTATATAGAAAGGCAAGTGATTTCTGTATTGATTTTGTTTTCTGCAACTTTGCTAAATTCACCGATTAGCTCTAGTAATTTTCTCATACAGTCTTTAGGGTTTTCCATGTACAGTATCATGTCATCTGCAAACAGTGACATTTTTTTCTTTAAAAGAAGAAAATTTTCCCATGACATTTGTAGGTTTCTCTTGGATAGCATATGGATATGGCAGTTGAGGTAATTAGGACCTATCTGTCTGCTGGAACCAACTACAAATGCTGCACAATTTTTTTTAATCAGCCTGGAGTCATAGGATAAAGCTAGGGGAAAGTTACAAGGACAGGATACTAAGGAGGCCCAGTTGGGCAATGCTGACTTTGGGGCCTGCTTCTCCTCCTCTTTGCTAATTCCAGAGAAGGCACCCAAAGAAGTGAATGGCTTTTTTATAGTTTCATGAATATACAGGGGTAGAAAGTGGGGAGGGTAAGACCTGCCAAAGGAGGGATAGACCTGGTGGACTCTCTCAATCCATCTTGAGACCCTGAAGGATGAGTTAGAAGTAGGCTTTCACAGGAATTGAAGCTCAGCTTTATATATATATATATGTGTTTGTGTGTGTGTGTGTGTGTGTTTGTGTGTGTGTGTAATATTTTATTTAAGCCTTTGAGGTTGTGGTTTAACCATCCAGTACATCTGTTCTCAGTTCTTCCTTTTCTTGCCATTTGTGGGATTTTCCTTCTCTGATCTCTTTCTCCTTCCTTCTGTTTTCAAAGAGAACTTTAAATCCATCACTTCCTGGTCATACAGGACAACTTAGCAGGTGATTCCTGTTTCTTGAGCATGCATCTACATGTGGGTGATCCTCACCTTTGACTAATAATGGTTAATTCAGACACTTACTCCAGGACCAATACAACGCTTTCTCTAATAGAGATTTCGGTGACTGAGATTTTCTTTCATCTCATTACATTTTCATGTACTCTTTGAAACTCAACTTTAAATCATTCTTCTTTTGAGGCAGATAACATCTTTTAGGACTCAAATTATTTCAGAAAAACAATTTATATAGTGTTCAGCACATAATGGAAAAACAGCGAGGTCTGCAAGGATATGAGACTATCCTAACAGAAGTAACCAAGTTCCAAGATAGAAAAGAAAGGAATGAGAAATTTGGTAGATATATTAAAACTTGGAAAAAATGGAAATTCTTATTAAAAAGTCAAAATTAAGAACTGAATGGAGGGTTTAACAGAAAAGTAGCCACAGGAAAAGTACACTGGTATCCTGGAAAATCAGCCAAAAAAAAAAATACCCATAATAAATCCTGAAGAGGAAAAGGCGTGGGAGATACAAGCAGAGACACCAGAGATAGAATGAGGGGTAAGATTCCTGTCATTAGAATTTTAGGTGATGAGAGAATAAGCCAAAGGCAGTAGCTATAGACTTTCCAAAAATGATGAAAAAAAAAATAAGCCAAAGGTTCAAGAAGCCCAAAGAACTGAAACACAATAAATAAAAGGAAATCCTGAAGATAACTGCTAAAGACCAAATAATTAAGAAATACTAAAAGCAGTCAGAGAATAAAGATAGAATGATTTCAAAAGAGTGAGTAACAAAAGCCAAAAGACAGGAGAGTGATATCTTTAAATTGCTGGAAGAAAACGGTTATCACCCTTGATAGAACTCTATACCCAGTAAAAATATCAGAGTGAAGTAAGCCAGAAAGATAAACACCAATACAGTGTACTAACGCATATATATGGAATTTAAAAAGATGGTAACGATAACCCTATATGCAAGACAGAAGAAGAGACACAGATGTATAGAACAGACTTTTGGACTCTGTGGGAGAAGGCGAGGGTGGGATGATCTGGGAGAACAGCATCAAAACATGTATATTATCAAGTGTGAAACAGGTCGCCAGTCCAGGTTGGATGCATGAGACAAGTGCTCGGGGCTGGTGCACTGGGATGACCCAGAGGGATGGGATGGGGAGGGAGGTGGGAGGGGGAATCAGGATGGGGAACACATGTGAATCCATGGCTGATTCATGTCAATGTATGGCAAAAACCACTACAATATTGTAAAGTAATTAGCATCCAACTAATAAAAATAAATGAAAAATAATTAAAATATCATTAAATAATAAAAAAAGTATTTATAGACAGAAATGGAGAAAGTGTATCTCCAGAAGACCTGCACTGTGGAAGATACTAAAGGGTATTGTTGCTCATGCAAAAGAAAGAATGATCCCTGTTGGAAGACTGGAAACACAAGAATAAATGAATATATAGCAACAAAAGGATATGTGAATAAATTGGAACTGTAAATATGTGAATGTTTACAGTTAGAAACAATTTTTTTTAATCCTATGAGGTTTGAATAAGGAAAGGATTTTAAGACATGACACCAAGGGCATATAAATCTCATAGTAGAATGGCTGGAGTTAAAGTGTTCTAACATATATGGATGAGAGCTAGTAAACCAAAAATGCATATCATAATCTCTAACAAGATATTAAGAACTATGAAAAGAATTATAATGATACACATAACAATCTAATTATATAAAATAATTTTAAAACTCAAAATAAAAATGGGGAGAAAAAGATGCAGAAAGTTTGACTATCAAAAGATGGAAAGAGACAATACCATGTTTATTGTCGTTCAATCACTAAGATGTGTCTGACTCTTTGCAACCCCATAGACTGCAGCATGCCAGACTTCCCTGTCTTGCACTATTTCCTGGAGTTTGCTCAGATTCATGTCCATGGAGTGGGTATTGCTATCTAACCATCTCTTCCTCTGCCACCCCCTTCTCCAGTGCCATGTTAATGTAACCAAAAGAAAATTAAGAGTTAGCTCTGTTAATGTGAAGGGGAAAAAAAATCCCATTATTAACATGAAAGAGCATCACTTCATAATAATTTCATCCTCTCTTCATAATGATAAATTCACCCTCTCTTCTCTCAGGTCAGAACTTAATCCCTCCCTGTTTTCTCAGTACCAATAAACTCAGTACCAAGATTACAGAGGGGTGTGTTTCTGCACGCTTCTTAGTTTCCTAAAGTTTCCTTGCAGAGTTTGGTAGACAGCTTGAGCCCACAGTTCAGTTCTCCACACCTTCCTATCAGGCTCCAGGCCCTCAGTTTTTTGTCTCCGTAGCCCCTCAAGACTACCAAAATCTCTTCTGATTTTCCTGCTGCTGCTAACTGCCCCTGCCGCGCTCCACCCAGAATTCAGGTGCCTGAAGGGAGAAGCGGTGGCAGGATGTTGACTCACTTCACTGCTGCTTGTTCCCAGGAACTGTGTGTCCTGAGTCTTAGTGGTCTCTTCGGTTCTCCAAGGATTTCACTCTGATGTTTTTATTTTATCCAGCTCTTCTAGGTGGTATCCCCTCCAGTTCAGATGTGGTTTTCCTTGAATCTCAGATTCTTCTTCCTTAAACTAGGAATATACCACCCTCACAGGACAGATGTGACAGAAAGTAAAGCAAGATATTTATCTGATATCTACTGGTGGGATGATAGTGATGACTAAGATGTGTGGCCTTCCAAAAGGTCCATCTTCTACGTCAGTATCCAAATCCAGTATGTCAATACATCTTTCTTGCTGAAATACTCATTTTCACTAGTTTCAAAAGCTTTTTTTTTTTTTCATTTTGTTCCATGCTTACGCATGTAAAATTAAAGAATATGTTTCTTTCTTTTACATACAATTTTCTTATTGAAGAAATGGACCTTGTAACATGAAGAGAGGGACTGGCCTAGAATTATACTGTCATTTTCAGTTTTTATATTTCACTTTCTTTCCTTTAAAGTGCTTCAGATTTATAGTGAGAGTAGGATTTTGTGATAATGGAAGTCAGTGAATTATTCTAAAGTACTTGAATTATTCTAAAAACTGTTCAGTGGGATATGGTTCTGAAAGAGTAAGAGACTTAAAGAAAAGTGACTCTCCATTATTGTAGGATTTAAATGTTCCTCAAAAAAAAATGGGAAAATAATCCCCTATCTTCTCGGGTAATCACTTCTCCTTAAAGAAGCAATAACAACATCAGTGTGTCTCCCATTTTCCTTTCCCCAAAGTCTTCCTCCTCAGCACCCTGAAAAAGAACTTGGCAGAGCCTTTGTCTTCTAACTTTTTTTAGGAGAAAATACTTAGTTAGACTCACCAGTAGTCAAACAAAGCTAAACAAGTAGATTTTTTTTGCGGAGAAAGAATGAGAGTTGGTATATTATATGCAGTATTGACTTTGATGTCTAAGACATTTCCTCAAAAAGCAAAGTATTACTTTCTCTTTTAACTTAGCACTCAGTGCTTATGATCACATTCTCACAAGGAAATCCTCTCACTCAGAACTTGAAATTATTTCAGTAACATATTCAGTAAATTTGGATAGTACTGTGTAATCTACCTCCAAGTTTAAAAAAAATGGCTGAAAGAAAAACAGTATGATGGTCATGGCTTTTAAAATCTTTATATAAATGTTATCCTGGCAATATCTTTTAAAAAAAAGTATCACAAGAGTTGTTGTATTTCTGTCTGTGTTTCATTATTTTACACTGAACTTACTGTTAAAAAATATTCATTTTGGTTCAGTTCATGTAATTATTAGATAATGTGGTTGGTATTATAGTATGTTCAGTACACAGTTTAATAGAAAGTTACTGTGGTAAATAAGAATTTGGTTGTCTACCATTCTCTTTTCTTCCAAACAGCACCCAACAGTGATTTTTCTAAGAGGGACGCAAATATCTCCCTCTTGGTGAATCCCCAATCTGGACATTCTTGTTTTTAACAGAAGAGTCATCTCACCTCAGTTTGGCTACTCCATACACAGTTTCTTAACCTTAGTAGACTTTCTGCTTCCTGTGCTACCTGGAAGACAGAATAAAATTTCTGTTTTAAAGGAGATAGGGAATGAAAAACCTGATAGTCCCCATTATCGCTTGAAATCTTTTCTGAATTCATGTAATGTTTCTTTGCATGCTTAGTCGTGTCTGACTCTTGGTGACCCCATGGATTGTAGCCCACCAGGCTTCTTCGTCCATGGACTTCTCCAGGCAAAAATACTGGAGTGAGTAGCTATTCCCTTCTCCAGGGGATCTTTCTGACCCAGGGATCGAACCAAGGTTTCTTGCATTGCAGGCAAATTCTTTACCATCTGAGTCACCAGGGAAAGTTCCCTTATTCGTCCATATTCTGTTAGATGTGATTCTCTCATTGACATTTAAATGCTTCAGTCAGTTCAGTCACTCAGTCGTGTCTGACTTTTTGTGACCCCGTGAACCGCAGCATGCCAGGCCTTCCTGTCCATCACCAACTCCCGGAGTCCACCCAAACCCATGTCCATTGAGTCAGTGATGCCATCCAACCATCTCATCCTCTGTGGTCCCCTTCTCCTCCTGCCCTCAATCTTTCCCAGCATCAGGGTCTTTTCCAATGAGTCTACTGTTCACATCAGGTGGCCAAAGTATTAGAGTTTCAGCTTCAACATCAGTCCTTGCAATGAACACCCAGGACCCATCTCCTTTAGGATGGACTGGTAGGATCTCCTTGCAGTCCAAGGGACTCTCAAGAGTCTTCTCCAACACCACAGTTCAAAAGCATCAATTCTTCAGCGCTCAGCTTTCTTTATAGTCCAACTCTCACATCTATACATGACAACTGGAAAAAGGATAGCCTTGACGAGATGGACCTTTGTTGACAAAGTAACGTCTCTGCTTTTTAATATGCTGTCTAGGTTGGTCGTAACTTTCCTTCCAAGGAGTAAGCATCTTTTAATTTCATGGCTGCAGTCACCATCTGCAGTGATTTTGGAGCCCCAAGAAATAAAGTCTGTCACTGTTTCCATTGTTTCCCCATCTATTTGCCATGAAGTGATGGGAACAGATGCCATGATCTTAGTTTTCTGAATGTTGAGCTTTAAGCCAATTTTTCCACTCTCCTCTTTCACTTTCATCAAGAGGCTTTTTAGTTCCCTCTTCACTTTCTGCCATAAAGGTGGTGTCATCTGCATATCTGAGATTATTGATATTTCTTCCAGCAATCTTGATTCCAGCTTGTGCTTCCTCCAGCCCAGAGTTTCTCATGATGTACTCTGCATATAAGTTAAATAGGCAGGGTGACAATGTACAGCCTTGACATACTCCTTTTCCTATTTGGAACCAGTCTGTTGTTCCATGTGCAGTTCTAACTGTTGCTTCCTGACCTGCATACAGGTTTCTCAAGACGCAAGGCAGGTGGTCTGGTATCCCCCTCTCTTTCAGAATTTTCTTAGAAGCAATTTTTATAGATGTTATAAATGTTTGCAATATATATTACTGCAATGTTTGCTTTATAAGCATTTTGATAATATAATCATTTTAACCTTTTAATAATAGCTACCTTTACTTTAGGAAGTGTATAGGAAAGACAGAGGAAGAGGTTGTTGGGTCAGTTCTTAGCCTGTATCATTTTGGTGGCTTACGAGAAATCCAGAACCTCAGGTGCACTATTTTTGAAACTCAGTTTTATCAATTATTTCCAGTGCTTTTTAATGAGCCTTTTTAATGGCTGAAAATACACTCCAGTTAACTTGAAGTAGTGAAGACCAGTGAAATTCACTAATACTGAAAAATATTGAATGTTTTTCTATTCATAGTAATCTTAGTTTTCTCTGACCTCAGAAAGGCAGTGTTCCTTCTTCACAATTTTCAGCACTAGTTTTTTCCTCATAAGGATTAACTGTTTGAGTCTTAATGATTCTCACTGGCATTTAAAATACAATTTTTATTTTAGTATCATTTTCGGAACACTCAGTACTACCAAATCATGTTTTACCTGTAAAATTTGTGAAATAAGGATTACTAACCAGTATCTCCATGTGGAATGAATATCATTACATGACATAGGTCTTAATGTTTCATTTGTAATATTTCTGGTAATGGTTCTTTGAAGAAACTTAGGAAGAATATATCTGAAGGCTAGCTTTTGAGATATTTATATGAAAATGACACAATGTCCCACCACTGAGAAAGTATGAATTTTATGTTCTCTCCACCCATTCCTCTTGTGGCTGTGTATATGTGCGATGCTTATCATATGGAAAAAGTTGCCATATTGTGCATATTGGAATTATTTAGCTGAGCATTCAAAGATTATTGTTCATTAACTCTTTTAGTGTTCAGGGCTATACTCACTAGTTAGAGCTCTGAATATAATTTGCAATATCTCTAAATGTAATTTGACTTAAATATTACTGTACATTGTATAGGAAAAGACATCTACACTGTTCATTCCAGGTGCAACCTATCCTGGTGACAAAAGAAATATTAAAATTATGAAACTCTAAAAAATGTTTTATTATAAATAACTGTCAAATATTGATTTGTTTATATTTATCAAAGGCCTTCTGAGATCTGCAGAATAATTATTTTTTTCTTTTCAGAATTACCCCTGGACTACAAATTTACAAGGTTCTCTTCAAATAATTCAAAAACAGCAGGCTATTATCCAAACCCTCCATTGGTCTTATCAAATGCTGGAAAACTGACAGCCAAATAAATGATCTTTACCAAAAAATGAAGTGAAAAACAGTATATGCAGCAAATGTACTGTAAAAATGTTCATTTTCAAAAACTACTGTAAAATGCTTTATAGAAACAAAATTATTAATGAAACGTGACCAAGAAATTGGTATGTTTTCCATAGGTCTCCTTTCTATAGAGATTATCTTGATACCCAACAACACTCATTATGTTAAAATCTCAGTATCTTAGAGTTGAAAAGAATCTTATTAATATTTTCTATACTAGTAGTTCTGAAATTAGAATTCCCTGGGGCTATATATACACATACACATACATACATAAATGTACACATGCATATTTACACATTTACCTAGACCTGTGGCCCTCAAAGTGTGGTCCCCAAACCACTAGCATAGCCACACATGCAAACTTGATAGAAATGTAAATTTGCACACCCCATCCTAGACCTACAGAATCAGAAAATCTGGGACTGTGACCCAGCAATCTGTGTTTAATTATAGTATGACTCACACAAAAGTTTAAGAACCAGTGGCTAGACTATAACCTCCAGACATTGGTTTAATTGGTCTGGGGATACAGATGAACACTGAAATCTTTAATATGTCCCAGGAAAATGCAGCCAAAATTGAGAATAACTGATCTACACCTGTTGTTTCAATTTATAGTCAAAAACACCAAGTCTAGTAAGATTAAATTATTATTCCAAACTATCAGATTTTATGCTGTTTTCCTGGTTTCCAAAACAAGGAGATAGACATGATGTCTTCTGAGACCATGCAGCCATGATGGGACCTGGGTGATAAAAGAAGCCAACTATTTCAGCCTCAAAGTATTAATCATTAGGGTTTGTTTTTTTTCCCTCCCTGTTTTCTTCATTTTCCTCCCTAGTGTCTACTTCACTTTTCATTCACTTTAAGTCATGTATTCTCAGAGGGGCAAAAATTGGTTCTTGGTATAAAAAAATCTTAACGCAGTGGATTATGGTTCTCCATATCTCTACACAATAAAATCTTATTCCTTAGTATTTCTCTCATTAGGGAGAAATGTAATTTAAAGCTAAATTTATTAAATATATTTTTTCTTCTAGGGCACGGGGCAGTGATAATGAAAAAAGAGGTTGAAAAGAATTATTTTTTAAAGGTTTTATAGATGTACTGCAGTCCAGGATTATTGTGTTCTATGTGCTACATGTAGTCATATTAGTAGCGGTTTGTTGCAAGATGTTTGAACCCAGATAATGTTTACAGTATAAATGCCTGGCTACTCTTTATGCTGTAATTTCACTCTGTCCATTATGGATAGAATCAGAAAACACTGGTCACCATCATTTTACTTGGTTTGTAGCCAAGAGTTTAACATGTTGATAGATGCAATGAAAAGATAAATATTTTGTTAAATTTTTAAATGCTCAAATAATCCCAAATATATTGTGGGATTGAATATCTCAGGGTAGGTAAACAGTTACTGAATTTTTTTCTCTCAAAGCCAGTAGCTTTCTTCAATATCTGTTAATAAATGTTAATGTCTTTGAAATTGACTTCCAAAATCTCATTGGAATATAATAAAGAGCATGTACAATCAAGCTTAGGGCTCAAGTGAAAGATGCTGTTTTCATGTATACTTTCATGTAGACCTTTGATTTCTTTTAAAAATAAAGCTATTTTTCCTTATGCATGTTTATTTTGTCAGTGGCAAATAATAATACATCTTTAACACTTCTAAACTGCTATTGTTAATATGAAAAATGAGACCCTCCAAATAAGTTAATTTCATTCTTTTAGCCACTGAGGAGCAGAAGAAATTCATTCACATCAGAAGTTCTGGTGCTCTTCTTATCAGTACCTACCTAAGAAATCTGAACCCTAACCTTTCAGTTTTTTCCATCTTGTCAAAAGAGAAAATTCAAGTTGATATCCAAGTTTCCTCCCACTTTACTAGCAGAGCAGTCAGTGCTTCTAATGAATGATCTTCTGTTGAATTGTAATTAAACTTTTAAAATTATTATTTGTTTCTAAAAAGTGCCAGAAAAATAATCATCAATATTTTTAAAGAAGATATTAGAGAAGAAAAGCTGTATATTCGTTAATAAAGTTACATGAAGTGGAAAAGCAAGAAAATTGTGTAAATGGACAGAGGACTTAAGTTTAGTATTAGTACACAGGCCTATGAAGCCACCATCACCCAATACCAAAAACAGACAAAGACACTACCAAAAATGAAAATTATAAGATAATATCTTTGACAAATATAGATGTAAAAATTCTCAACAAAATATTAGCAAACCAAATCCAACAACAGAAAAAAGATCATATGCTTCAGCCAAGTTGGATTCATTCTAGGGTCACAAGGATGGTTCAACATATATAAAACAATCAATATGATATACCACATCAACAAAAGACAAAAACCACATGATCATCTTAACAGATGCAGAAAAAGCATTTGATAAAATTCAGCATCCACTCATGATTAAAACTCTTTAATAAAGTGGGTATAGAGGGGACATATCTCAACATAATAAAAGCTACTTATTACCAACTCAAAACCAATATAATGTGAAAAACCAAAAGCTTTCCCACTAAAATCTGGAATCAGGGAAGGATGTCCACTCACTATTTCTATTCAACACAGTATTGGAAGTCCTAGGAACAGTAATCAGACAAGAAAATAAAATGTTTTCAAATTGGTAGGGAAGAAGTAAAACTCATTACATACAGATGACTGTATTACTATAGAGTCTTTTATATATTGGACTACTATATACTGGAAACCCTAAAGACTCCACACAAAACTACAGGAGCTGGTAAATTAATTCAGCAAAGTATCAAGCTACAAGGTTAACATATAGAAATTGGTTGCATTTCTTAATACTAACAGGGAATGTAAACAATCCCCTTTAAAATCACATCAAAAAAAAAACATGAATAAATCTGACAAGGTGAAAGACATAAGCTGAGAGTTATAAAACATTAAGAAAATTGACAATTCACAGAAATGGAAATACATTCCATGCTCTTGGGTTGAAAGAATATTGCTGAAAGGGTCATACTACCCAAAGCAATCTACAGATTTAATGTGATCCCTGCCAAGTTACCCATGACACTTTCCAGAAAACTAGAATAATCCTAAAGGTTATATGAAACCATAAAAGACCCAGAGTTGCCAAAGCAATCCTGAATAAAAAGAACAAAGCAGGAAGCATAAGCCTCCCAGATGTCAGACAATACTACAAAGCTTCTGTAATCAAAACAGCATGCTATCACACTATTTATACTGTTGTTTTGATTACAGTAGCTTTGTAGCATTGTGGCACACATAGGGAGCAGTGAAGCAGAATATAGGTAGCCCAGAAATCTACACATCTAAGGTCAATAAATCTTTGACAAAGGAGGCAGGAATACACAACGGGCAAAAACACAGTCTCTTCAGCAAGGGTTGATGGGAAAGTTAGATAGCCACATGTAATCAATGATGTTAGAACACACCCTCTTCACACCAGACACAAACTCAAAATGACAAACATATGACACAATAAAACTAAAAGAATACAGGCAAAACATTCTGACATAAACCATACCAGTGTTTTCTTGGGTTATTCTAAGGCAATGGAAATAAAAAACAAATGGAACCTAATCAAACATACAAGCTTTTGCACAGCAAAGGAAATCATAAGCAAAACAAAAACACAATTCTACAGAATGGGAAAAAAGTATTTGCAAATGATCAGACTGACGAGGACTTAATCTTCAAAATACACACAACAGTTGCAACAACAAAGACCCAACCCAATTGAAAAATAGGCAGAACTAAATAGACATTTTCCCAAAGAAATACAGATGACCAATAGGCACATGGAAAAATGCTCAACATTGGTAATTATTAGAGAAATGCAAATAAAAACTACAATGAATTATTACCTCACATTGGTAGGAATGGCCATCATTAAAGTCTACAAACATGCTGGAGAGTGTAGAGAAAAGGGAACCCTCTGACACTGTTCACAGGAATGTAAGTTGGCGCAGTCACTACAGAAAACAGTATGGAGGTTCCTCAAAAAACCTAAAAACAGAACTGCCATATGGTACAGCAATCCCACTCCTAGGTATATATCTAGACAAAACTATAATTCAAAAAGATGCACACACCCCTGTGTTCACAAGACCTGGAAATAACCTAAGTACCCATCAACAGATCAAAGAATAAAGAAGATATGGTGTGTATATATACACACAATGGAATACTACTCAGTCATTAAAAAAAAATGTCATTTGCATCAAAACGGATGCAACCAGAGATTATAATCCTAAATGAAGTAAATCAGAAAGACAACTATCATATCACTTATATGTGGAATCTAAAATATGACAGAAATGAACTTATCTACAAAACCCACAAACATGGAAAACAGATACGCAATTGCCAAGAGATGGGGATGTGTTAGAGGGATACAGTGGGAGATGGGGTTGCAAGTTATACATAGAATGAATTAGCAACAAAGTCCTACTATTCAGCACAAGGAACTATATTCAATATCCTGTGATAAACCATAATGGAAAGAATATAAAAAAAGGATGTGTATATATAACTGAATCACATTGCTATACAGCAGAAATAAATACAGTACACAATTTTAAAAATTTGTTATAATAGTCCTTTTGTTGCACTTATTCCGTTTGATGAAGTGAACTGTTAATTTCATTTATGCACGCAACATGATGACTACATATGTAAGTTCAGAAGTGTTTTAATCTATGGAATCTTAATTAAAATAAGTGATAAAATCTCTTCAAAGACCATCATGAATGGGTTAAGAATAACCTTCAATTTAATACTCACATAATAGGGTTGTTGTTTTTATGCTGAATTTAATACAGATGTTTGTGATACAGTGGAAGGTACCCTAGGCTTGAAATCAAACAATTTAAGTTTGTGATTTGCATCTTAGGCAATTTAGTTCAATTTTCTGAGCTGTTTTCTCAACTACTTAAAAGGGAATAGTAAAACTTTGAGAATTATGACAGTAACCTAAGGACACACATGTTAAGTACCTGCTGTTTGATCTCTGGACTGTCAAACCAAGGAATGTGTATCTGATGCAAAATCAGATACTGAAGGCTTAAATTTTAACTCTTATGAGACGAGGGACTCAATAATTAGGAATACTGGTCATTTTGGGGGGATTGTTTTTAATGCTGAAAACTACTGATGTAAGGAAACATGAGTCATGTGTAAAGCAGAAGCAAAAGCAGCAGCCAGAGTGACGTGGAAGAGGAGCCGGCCTGAATAAGGAAGGTCAGAGAAAACCTTGTGTATCTGGCCTAAGCTAAATATCCAGAAAAATAGAAAAGGATGCCCAATAATATTCTATTAATATAGGGACCAAGAAAATTATGAAGTACTCAAAGGGTAATGTGGCCAGAGCAGACCACAATGGTCATACTTCCTTGGAGAAAAGGATGAGAGAAACTCTTAACTGGTTTGGAGATCTAAGACTTTTGGTTCCAGAACAGAGGAATAAAAACAAAAAGGCAATGCAAAGAAATGGAGCAGGGTTATTTGAGTTAACCAACTGTGTAGTAAGTGAATCCAAGAAAATGCTGAGTCTAATTTTATTGGACAAAAAAGAACAGAAACCATGTTAATCTGTGACAAATGAGTAGCACCAACCTACTAGAAAAACGAATACTCTTGATTAGACTGAAGCTGATAACAAACCAGCAAAAATGACATTTTCTGATTATATCCAGAATAGGATAAGAAGATAATGCTTAAAACAGATGGTTGACAATGACAGAAATTAATCACTGAATTGAAAAGGTAAAATGAACATAGTATGGGGAAGTTGAGTATAAAACTTATAAAGGAGTTTAGAAAGATGGTAACGATAACCCTATATGCAAAACAGAAAAAGAGACTCAGATGTATAGAACAGACTTGTGGACTCTGGGAGAAGGCAAGGGTGGGATGTTTCAAGAGAACAGCATTGAAACATGTATATTATCTAGGGTGAAACAGATCACCAGCCCAGGTTGGGTGCCTGAGACAAGTGCTCGGGCCTGGTGCACTGGGAAGACCCAGAGGGATCGGGTGGAGAGGGAGGTGGGAGGGGGGACCGGGATGGGGAATACATGTAAATCCATGGCTAATTCATTTCAACGTATGACAAAAACTACTGTAATGATGTAAAGTAATTAGCCTCCAACTAATAAAAATAAATGGAAAAAAAATTAAAAAAAAAAAAACTTATAAAGGAAAACTTTGCTAATACTTAAAAGTTCTCCAGGCCTAGAAAAATTACACTTCAGCAAATAGAGCTTGCAAATAAGAAATGCATCAAGAGTCAGCCAGTCTGGTTTACCTGTAGGTTTAATCAACAATCTCTAATTCAAATCAGTAATTTGGGGCCATTTATGTCAAAATTTTGTCTAGACGGCTAAAAATATTCAGTGATTCATTTATGCAGACCTTATAGTAGTCATTGCTCTCTCTGCTTCAGAGAATGCAGATGTCTCCCAAACCTTCATGTAATAGATGCTGAAAAGCAAAACATTACTGGTAACTGACACTGTGATGTCTGGTATCGTTTGCTTCTAGACATTATATTGGTCATTTTTTTTTCTTTCAATAGCACCACACTATTGTAGGAAAAGAATTTAAGTAGTACTTAGAG